TCTCCACATTTCTTAATTGTTTGTTTAAAAAAAAGCACACATTTGATTTATAATGAAAGCCAAGAGATTTCAGGGGTTTTCAAGGTAAAGTTGCAGGCAGTGCATGGCAATGTAAGGAACAGTGAGCTAACTGGATTGTGCCTTGCAGTGCGTCTGTAGTGATGCCCCTGCTGAGAAGCAGGGGAACTCAAGTCTGAGCTGCTTCAATTAAGCTGCTGTTGTTGGTGTCTGAGCTTGGATAGCACAGAGATGTATGAGCTAGCTTTATATTGCATTTCATTCACCTGCCAATGAGGTCCTGCTATACCTTTTTTTTTTCATTTTTTTTATTGTAATGTGGGTAAATCCTTAACTTAGCCAGTAGGCAATGCTGTAGACTGATTAATTCCTCATCCATCTTAAGTAGCTAGGCAACTAGCTGCAGTTTGAGCAGCACAGTGATACCTACCTGGCTGTTGGATTAGGTCTAAGTCGTTTACCAAGGTCACAACTGGCAGAGAACAACAAACCAGTTATCCTTTGTTTTAGTGAAAAGCCTTGCAGGCAGAAAAGGAAAATCTGCTTTTATTACTCCTAAGTGTCAATATTTGCTAACATGTGAATGCCATCATCTGTCCCATCATCCTGTCTCTACTGTGGCTGCTAGTAGATTCTCAGTGTTGCGGATTGAGCATTCCCAGGTACATCCTTGCAGACACTGGCAGTCAGAAATGAAGAACTTCATAACCAGGCTGTGCATCAGGACTGTGCCTTGGTACCCAGAGACAGGCCTGCTCTCCTCAAACCTCTGTCTGATTCCCTTCAGAGTCTGCTTCTGCTTTTGAGCCCCACAGCATCCTGTGAAAATGAATGGCTACTTCTCGTGCAGAGCTTTGAAGTTAAAACACTGCAGTCAATAGATGTCAGTGAAGAACAAACATTTCTGTTCCTTTCAGAAGCAGCGGTGCTTCCCTTTTTAATGGCAGAAAGCCTGGCTGGCTGCAGAGCCTGCAGCAGAGTGCACATGTCTCTGGTGCCATGGGGTTGCATTCGCTCCCAAGATGGCTATTTCTCCACTTAGCGTTGGCCTGCAGGACCGGTTTGGAAAGAGGCCGAAAGGAGGCAGAGCAATGTAATGTGTGACTTTGTGCTTTTCTGTCGCTGGGTTTTTCGCTCGAGCGGCTGTCAGGAGTTCCCACTCGCTCCCTGTTGGGCCCGTGAGGTGCCCCTGCTCCTCGCTACTTGGCCAAGGAGCGACCTTTTCTGCAGGAGCCCAGGAAGGGCAATGCTTCACCATGCACACCCACTGTCTTTCACTGTCCTTTCCTACAGTTTACCCTCTGTGGTATGCAGGACAGGCAAACAGATTCAGGAAAGGGGGAGGACTGTTTCCTGACAACATTAATAGAGAAGTTGCTGCATGATTGTCTCTCATGGTTGCTGGTCCCTTGAAAAAAGGTGGGTTGTTGTCACCTGTGAGGCTGGAACTCGTGAAAGAGTGATATGGCCACTCAGTCCTTTTCCCCCTTTCTGAACATGGTCTTTCAGCGATCATCTTTACCCCCACACTCAGCCCTTTCTATCAGGCCTGATTCCTCCTGTTCCGTCCCCACTGGGTTTTTGCAGCAGGAGGGCCCTTGACTCTTTGTGGTCTGTGCTGTCTGTCTTCTCTCATCTGCTGGTCATGAAGTGAGCCCCATGGAAATTCCTTCTGGTCTTCCACGTTTACTTTTCCAGCTGACAGATGGTTACAGGTAAACCCTTGCCTTGATCCCCTGAGCATCTCTGCTTTACTTAGACCCAGTGCAGAAACCCACCAATTGATCTCCTGCCCCGAGTCTTCCTGATTTTCCTATCACTTCTGGCTTCAAAGATTACCAGAACTGACTTGGATTCCTTCCCCCACCTGCTCTTCCCCTCTCACTTCTCCAGACTCACTTGCATCTTCTACAAGGCATTATTGGAAAGATTTTTTCACTAGTTCTTGTTTTCCTCCAAGAAACTGCTTTAGGCTTCAAAGTCATTGTATCAGAGCTAATGTGACTTAGATTGCTAGGATGTTTACCTGAGCACCTTTTCTTCTCTGAGAGCCACTTTAGAAGATAGTTGTGTAATGCTTTCAGGGAAAAGGTCCCTGAAGCAAGGCCTGGAATTCATGTGTTTCTCTCACAAGAGTTCTGGCCCTCCAAATGCTTTTGTTCACTTTTTCATCTGACCCAAAAGCCAGGTAAGCCTGGGTAGCAAGCAAATCAGGCTAACTTCAGCAAGAGTGGGTAGAAGCCTCACATCTAAGCTCTGGTGGCATAAATGTTTAATGCTGTCCTCTCTAATTAAATCAATCTTGAGAAGAGCCCTTACTCAGGAAGGTGGAATGTATTACCCAGATAGGAAGGCAGTATTGTAACCATTTACATGCAATAAAGATTGCACAGGGCTTTCTTTCTTCCAAACCTAGTATTGCTGTGGTCTAGGTAGGTTTTGGGCCAGTATTTTTATATTTTGTAGGGCTGAAATTTTTCTCTCTCCAGAAGTTTTAACTGCCATAGAAAAAAGAAAGAAAAACAGAGAAGGGAAGAGACACTTTTACAACAGCTTACTATGAAAGTTTTGAAAATTTTTGAATGTCTCCATGACCTGCCGAAATGACTTGTGGAGCCAGATTGACAATTATTTGAAAAATTCAGTTTGAATCCCTCTGCTACAGTCATAGGAAAGGCAGGGGGAGTAGCAGCACAGTGGGTTGAGCAAGAGGAAAGAGGATGAAAGAAATGTTAGGCGTAGGAACTGCTGGGAGACCCTGCTTGCCAGTAGCTAGCATCACATACTCTTCTCCTTTAGTAACAGTGCCCAGCTAGCTTTCTGGACCTCTGACCTAGGCAAGTTTTGCTATGCTGTCGGCAGCTGCACTGGACTGTGCCAGTGCCTAGGACAGACCTACTACCCTGTAGTTTTACTAGCAGAAGCTGCTTGCTTTCTCAGCCTGTTACTCACTGCCAGTTGCTGCACACTACCTCAGGTGTGGCTGCATTGAGTAGAGCTTGAGTAAAGCTATATTTGGAGATTAGAAGTACTGTATGAGTACAAAGTGTTACTGAGAGGAACTTTATTTTGAAAGTCCATTTAACTCTGCAGTGCAGTGCTAGAGGTCAGACAGCTGGCAAAACAGTTGCTACCTTATATTCTAATGCTATCCCTTCAACCATTTCAGGCCTGTATGCTTTAGCCCCCTCATTAGTCCGCATGGCGTGTTCTCACCCTGTCCCTTCACACAGTTTCATATTGTGAATATACATATAAATGCTGCTTACAGCAGTCTTAACACGGTTAGTAAACTTGCTTGCAAACTTTGCCCAAGGACCCTTTGGCTTTTTTCTGTACTCAAAGGACTAGAAAAAATAAGTCTTTAAAGTAAAATATTCAAGCATTTTCATTAGCTGATCTCTTGCCATTTGTTACTAGTGGAAGAATGACACCTGAAAGGAGGGTAACAGTGGTTTGTGGCATTTTGGAGGGAGAGTGAGTGATTTTCATGTCAGAAGAGCAAAGCAACACAAACCAACTTCTGGTTGGATCATTTGCATAAAACAGCACTCAGGGCAGCATCTCCCTTGAACTGTGTTGAACTGGTAAATGGCAACGGACTGCAGTTGAACAGGCTTTTCTCTCACTGATCTCTTCAGCACGTAACTCCTGTATCATTTGTGCAGATGCAAAATGGGTAGTAGGTATTGATGTCAGCTTGCACATGCAAGATAGGAAATGAAAGGGCTGTGTGGCAAGTGTGAGGTGTGTGGCTAGAGAGAGCATTAGTGTTCACTGTAAATAAGGCCATACCTCAGCTTTTCAGAAATAATATGGCCAGGGGATGAGCTTGCCTTACAGATGCGTACCTTCAGAGGACGCAGGAGTCAAAGCAGAGTAATTGTGCTTGTCTGCTTGAGTTTCTTTTGATCAGCTTTTGCTATGTTTTTTCTGCCTGCTCTTGGCTTGGAATTGTGTGGTTGGGGAGAACTAGTTTGGGGAAAAGAGTCCTTAAAGCCAGCCTACAAAGCAAATTGAAGGTGAGGACAGAAAACACGTCATGGAATAAATCAGAAGAAAAATCTTCACTGGGTACCTAGAACAGTCCCTCAGATGTGAACACAGACAGCTGATTCTTGGAAAATCTGTCTTATCAGGGCAGGGTAAATAAATAAGTCATGTTTGAATTAAACTGTCCCTGAGTAGTGGTTTGTTTACCAAGGTGGAACTGTTGGGTTCTATTGCACAAAGACTGTGTAGTAAAATGGTTCTCATCAAAACACTGGAAACAAGCATTTTACAGGAAGAAAGTCAAATGGGAAAAAAAACATGTTTATAATCCCCCAACATATGGTGCAGAAATTTACATGGATTTATATCAGTTGCTTTTAAAACATAAACAGTATCTAGTATCTAACCCAGAAATAAGTTACATCAAAGAACTACATGTTGTTAAAAAAAACCCAAACCATATTTTATAAACAAACTTCAGCTCATCAAATGTACTGCTGCAGGTTTCAACTTCAGTATCAATAACAAAGTCCAATAAGATAGGCACTTCCAAATCATGGTAGATCAGGGAGGGAGCAAGTCTGGGGTCAAATCTTTGGTCAATTTCTTATGATGTGTTTTTAGACTTTTTATATATTCAGATTCTTATAGGTTTGTGTTTTGTTCTTAACATCTTAGGTAAAATTGCAAAATCAGATCTAAGAAGTCCATTCATATCCTTCTAGAGCAAAAAATAAATAAGCGATAAAGTAGATTTGGTTGTAGAAAAATGGGTCTGACACCTGACTCTCTGAAACCATATATATCTGCCCACTGAAAACTGAGTTCAGCTCTGGCATTGTGTCAGAATTTTCCTGTCCTCAAAATCTCATGTTTATAATCCTTTCTCTTGGGAGGGTTATAGACTGAATGGGAGCCCCCATTCAGAGTTTCCCACCAGTTCCTCTATCTATGTTTCTTGATAACTGAGCATTGTTCTTCACATGAAGTCAAAATTCATAGGTAAGACTTTTTGCCATTTTGCTGAGTTTCATTTTCTCGTTGAATACCTCCTCAAACCTTCGATTCTGTTTTGGAGTGAAATAGTTCTTCCAATCGCCAACAGCACCTAGGAGAGGAGGAGCAGGAAAAGAACAGTGAGGCTAGCAATATATAGTCCAGAAAATTATTTAAAGGCAGGCCAGTTTTGTTAATGTTGCAGTTGGCACAGATTATTAATGTATTATTAACGGTAGTCTCTGTGGTAGGTCATGATCATGAGTAATTGCTATATTGGTCTAGTGAGACTCTGATGGAAGTAGCTGGATCATCATCCATAAAGGCTGTTAAACCCTCAGCTTCAGACTTGGTTAGTGCCAGCAACACTAAGTGGTACATGAGGAGCACAGGTTTCCTGGATGGAATTAGAGCTCCTGGTCATCTCAGCAGAGAGTTACCTTGCTGCACCTTGGATGTGTACAGTAAAAGGTCTCCGCCTGGGCTCTTTCACAGTCAGTAGAGGAAATGGTTACTTCCTGGCTCAAACCCATGTCATCCCAGTCAATATCTAAAACTCATCAAATGAGTGGTGCCCCAAAAGCACCCTTATGTCTCCAGTGACTGAAGATGACTCCTAAAAAAAGGAGACCAGAGTGACCTGATAGATGTATCCCACCTGCACACCTGCTCCTAATCTCTAGGGCTTTCTATGGATGAGATGACCCACTGCTTCGGTGGGCAGTTAACTACTTCTAGGTGACCTTGCACACTTGTGGTCAGTAAAGTATTTCAACTGTTACCTAGTTTGAGCAAATAGCAAATTGTTTTTTAAACTGACATATTTTAATGAGACAATGCTTACAGTTTCCTCTCATGTGCATCCTCTAAAGACCCCGCACCCCAAAACTACTGACTAAAATAGCATTCTGGACTGCAAGGACAAGAAAAGAGAGTTTGAAGAATAATATGTACATATAAATCTTCTGTAAACTGGCTGAAACTAGCTAAAACCCTGGGATTTGCATAGGAACTACTTGGAAGTGAAACTGTTGGGATTTTTCAAATTTTTCAACATATCTTTGTCAAAGTTCACTAATGTAGAAAAGCATATTTGAGTTTTTTGGTTGGTTGGTTTACTGACAGATTGTATTTTGGCATTTGCTTCAGCTCATTGGTAAAAACATTCTGAATTAGCAAAATGTACTGTTTCCCTGTTTATTAATTGAAACAACTCTTAAACTATCAATTATTGTTCAAAAATTAACTAAGTAAAAATAATCAAAATCCATCTAAACATGATGGTTTTGATTTACATATTATCCAAATTCGAGGAAGCTTCTGAAATGTCAGGAGCAAGAAAACAGCTCATGCAGGTATTTTAAAGTCACATCTGGGCTAAGCACTGTTGAAGATTTTACTGCAGATTCCGGCTTGGCCAAGGTCTGAAGGCTACCTATGAGGCCATCAGGTGACTGAGTCATCCATTCTTTCGTTGTCATTGTCAGCATATTCCTTTTTCAGGAACATTTCAGTAAGATAAGAGGTGGTACGGAGGATAAAGGCTATGAGCAGTCTCCTTCAGAAGGAATGTGTCTCGCTCTTTCTCATTCTGGTAAACTAAGTGACCTTCGCAGGTGATATCAGAGGGGACATGTTGTAAAAGACCGAGATGGTCAACTTTTAGATAAAAAAAGACAGATAAAGAATAATGCTACGTCAAGCTTTCCTGTTAGCTCAAAAGCTCCCACAGAGCAATAGTAGTCAGACTGTTGTTTAGACTCCTCTGTGCTTCTGTAGTGTAAGTCTGCATTTGCAACCAGAGGACTTGGAAAGAAAGTGATTTTTAAGACGGCTTCAAGTTGGAGGATCCTGTCACTGCTTCTCGAGGCTGACCCAAAGCGTCACTACAGCCCGGGAAAGACCTGGACTGTGTCCTCTGGCTGGATTCCCAGTCCTGCTGCATTAAGCCCAGCCCAGGGAACTTACCTTTTCGGAAAATCAGCTTCCTGTTGGATGTCAGCGCACAAACAGTGTGACTGGGATCGTTGTTCTCCTTCTCTGTGTCACTTTTCATCTCTGAGAATGAGGACTTCTTGCAGATGTCTTGGATATCATTGTCACTGACATTTAAACCCAGGAACAAACTAATTTCCTTTACAGTCTTAGGGAGATCCTGAGGTACAAGAAAAACAAAGCTTTTATATTTCTGAGCTGATTATCAGTTGATATGAAAATGATCCTTTTTATTATATCAAGTTTATCACACATTTATTTGCTTTCAAGCAAAGCTAAACATGTCATTGGACTGTGAAGATGACAGGTACAATAAACCTGATTACCCTCTTACTGGGACTCACAGAAGTAAGTAAATGCTGAGTATGTGATATCAAATGCAGTTACTTTGCCAATTTTACCCCCAGTTCAGGTAAAGTGTTCTCCTGTTTCTCAGAATTATTTTGCTGGGAATAGAGAAATACTCAAAGCTCAACTTCTGTGTAAGTACCTTATTTCATTGGAGGTGCTGTATCTAGAGATCCAACAAGTGACTCAGGATCCAAAATGGGTTTTTTATATTCCTCATAGTGGATTTTTTTTTTTAAATGAGCAAAACGATTTTAATGGAAACACTTTCTATTCACCCAAAAATTCATTCTCTGAAAGCTAAGTTGCGTTGGTGTTTAACTTTTTTTTTAAGAATAGCAAAGCAGTTTCTGCATAATTTCATCAAACTTTTTTCCTACCCCTCCAGCCTCTAGTTTTCTCATTTATTGAAAGCACAAGTCCCACTGACGATGAGTAGTTCTGTTGTCTTACATCATTTTTTGAAAATTTCACCTGAAATGTCAGGCATAGCAGGTTAATGTGTGGCTCTCAACAGATGTCACTGGTTCGTCTTTCCATAGTACCAAGAACAAGGAACTTAAAATTCTTCCTGTAGCTTGGGGAAAGTCATGTAATATGTGTCCCACTCCTGCATCTATGAAATGCAGCTCTCACAGGATTTGATATTTATGTAACTTGTGCAGTCAGAATTAGTTCACTGCTATAAAGTTCTATGCAAATACAAAATATGCCCAAAGACATACATTCACATTTTCCTTCTTTCTCCTTTTTCATTATAATTTGCTCTTCGAGATTTTAATGATGTTAATTTACAAGTAATGCATTCTGAAATAAGAGCAGAGGGCACATTTACCTTCTTCATGTCTTCATAGAACAAAAACAGGATGTTTTTGTCATTTTCATGTTCTTCCCAACTTAGGAAATGATCAAACCAGGATCCACAGACAACTGGAAAGAAAATCCATGTAAAAAGAGTTTCATATAAACTTTATTCATTATTAAGTCTGGTGTTACCTCACATGTTTAGGGGAATGTTCCCTTCATAACGCGTACCCTGTATTCCTCTAAGACAGATTCAATTCTTTTTGTGAAGTGACCCAAACTTACAATGCAAAGAGGTTACCATTCTTGTTGGAATTTGTTTTCTTATCAGAAATGCAGATACTATTCTGAGATACGGTTCTGTAGTGAAAACAGGCTCCAAATCTAAGGAAAGGCCAGTAATGAAGGAAAATGTACTGGCCTAACAAGATCCGAGCATCTCAGCAAATGTCTGCATGTCTGTGGTCACAGCTAGCAATATGATCACTTCACTAGGAAATGAAATAAGGAGTCCCTTAAATGGAGCATGCTGCTGTTAGCTCTATTTTGTCCAAGCAGAGGGGAATCTGTATTATTTTTAAAAGTCAAAGAAAAATTACGTAAAGAAGTTATGCAAATACATCATTCAGCCAATGACATAGATAACTATGGTTTTATAGTTGATTCATAGTACTTGTTTTGCCCAAATACTCCTTTTGCTGAACCATGGGAGAACAGATAAATTTCAGCTTTCTTTTAAAAAACAAAATTCTGACGCTTCTGGATGAAAGAGAAGATGAACTGCATTGAAAGCTGGGTTGAAAACCTGTTGTAGGGCGATAAGAGGAGGCCTGGACAGAGCAATTGCAACCAGCATTCTCCAGAACTGTGACTTTGCTTTATAACCGCCACCAGAAAACTATAATATTGTAATGGGCATCATTTTGCTTGCAAACTTTGAGTTGTAGTTAAGTATTGTGCTGAATGCTTCAGTCTGTAGCCATCTCCTGCACATAAAGCACTGTTTAACTGCAAGACATGTGTGCTCCACAGTGTGCAGTTATACCATACTCTCCTGGTCAACCATGCTGGGGATGTGGCCACCGGCGGCATGGAACGGCCCTGTGGGCTTCAGGGGTACAGCGTACAGCCTTGGAGACTCCAGGGACAGCATCACATGTGTGTCCTTGTTCTGAACTGAGATTAACTCTGCAAGAGTACTACAGGATCTGAAACAAGCAGCACAACCTTCATATGTTTCTATTAGGAGCAAAAATGACAACCTCTCTCTCCGCGTCACCTCTTACATAAATTTCTGCTCTAACCAACATAGTTATCTTTTTATGCCATGCGTAAGCACACAGAAAATAGAAGGTGGCTACTAATTTACAGATAAATGGAGATGCTTTTAAAATTTAATATAATCCTCTTTTCTTTTTCTCGCTATTGTATGTTCAGAGTTGTTACTAAACAAGCCAAGATCCTGCAAATCACTGAAGCACGTGCCTTAGGGCTGCTCTGAACTAGGAACATAAGATCGGAGCCAAAGCCCACACAAGCCAGTGGACAAATTGACTTCTGGGGCTCTGATGTAAGCCCATGATGACTGCAATGGCACGTTTCTTTCAAAGTTTTCAGGCTGATCTATCATTGTTGCTGTTATCATCACTATGGTTGTATAGCAGGAACACATGTCCTCAAAGGAGTAATAAAACACTAAAAATGGGAGTGGATAACTGGAACATGGTCCTGTTGTCAGCTTCCATGCCACCACGGCCACTCATAAAAATCTCACTCTTGTCCTTGGTTTTTGGACCCCGCTAGTAAGACAACACATCAGGCAGGGTGTGTGCAGGAGGGCTTTATGAAAGCACCTAGACTCCCTTTGCAGGGCCACCCAGGGCTGTCTTCAAGACTAGAGGAGAAGGCACCATACCTGCAAGCATAGCTCTGAGCGCAGCCTGGGGATGGGCTCTCCATGTGCCCCAATACCCGCGCTTTGGCTGGGCAGCGAGCCATGTAGAGCTGGCCGAGCATCTCCAAACAGAGCACCTGCCCCATCGGCCTGCTTACCCAGAACAGCCCAGCTGCCCTTACGTCTGCTTGGGAGGAGCTCTATATGCATACCTCCTCTATCACAGTTTAAACATGAATTCTTGGTTTGAAGCAGTCTGTTGTTGTGGTTTGCAAGACAAGGTTGGAAATGTTTTAACACAGGCAAATCCACATTCAGAATCAACAAATTGTCTGTTGGAGTTTCAGAGTGTTTGTGGGAAGAAATGAAATCAGTAACTTGTCTGTGAGAGTATGGTTTTTAACTGATATGTCAAAGAACAGCAAAAACCTGCAAA